AAGTCATCGCGGTGGACCCGATCAAGAGACATCCCGCCGCCGTCCACGTGAAGGGGTCTAGGCATGCTGTTGCAGTCTCTGGAATACCAAGAAAACTTGTTGGATTGTGAAAAAATGTTGACATTTTTCCCCCTAAATTGAGAGGAGGCTGCATTTTCTGGAATACCAAGAAAACTTGTTGGATTGTGAGAAAATGTTGACATTTTTCCCCCTAAATTGAGAGGAGGCTGCATTCTCTGGAATACCAAGAAAACTTGTTGGATTGTGAGAAAATGTTGACATTTTTCCCCCTAAATTGAGAGGAGGCTGCATTCTCTGGAATACCAANCAACTCATTTTTATGATGAGTGTTTTGATGAGAATATTGTAGAAAATCTAGAAGGATCAGTTCACATCCGGAATGTTGATTGTGGATCAGACAAATGCATGGAAATCCGCAGTCTTGAGCTTGATTTGCTCATGAGAGTTCCTGGAATTACTTCGGTACTCTGAGTTGATCAAAATTTTAAGGGGTTTAAATAACGATATAATAGTTATTGGGTTCAAGTCCCCAACAACTGCGAGCAAACGCAACCTTCTTCAACAGATCTCTTGCCCGATCTGATGGCAATATACAAGTATATTCGCGCTCAAACTCAATTAAACCATCAAAAAGAGAACATTTGTTGCAACGAAATTCATAGGTAATAATTTGCTTTCTCGATATGAAATTTTTAACTAATATTTAAATTTCTTGCTTCAAAACTTAGTTTGTAAGTATCAATGCTATCATTAAGTCTCTGGATTGCTTCTCGACTATTTAAATTGTAGGTCAGAGAAAGGCAAATTATGTGCAGCGAACGTTATCACAGCCACAGGTAGGAATATATCCAATGACAATTTAAACAAGTTAAACGAAAAAGTTTTCAAAATTATTCAACATTGATCACTGAAAATTGTGCTTCTGGATTACATCGATAGTGATGATCACGAATGCGTGCCTGACTGCGATTTAAATAATAAATCGTTTACTCGACAGTAAAGTACCAGAAGCTTTTTAAAACCTTTAAAGTTATTTTTCGCAATATTATAGTGATGTTTGCAGGGTGATCTCGAAGCATTCTTGAAATCCGCTTTATTAAGAAAATGGTGATTTGGGCAATAAACACATACATGCATGCTTCTAGATTTAATTTTCATGAAGTCAAAAGATATTGTGATCCACATATAAATTATCTGCCAAAAGATATTGTGATCCACATATAAATTTTCAGCCAAAAGATCTTTTGATCCTCATGAAAATTTTCTCCCAAAAGATTTTGTGATCCACGTATAAATTTTCGGCCAAAAGATCTTGTGATCTACGTATAAATTTTCTCCCAAAAGATTTTGTGATCCACTTATAAATTTTCTCCCAAAAGATTTTGTGATCCTCACCTAAATTGTAATGAAGCAATAAATAACTAAAATTTTATTTTGTTGAAAGCAGAATTAATGACATTGAATATTAGTTATATTTCATGACTGACTCGCTGACTGAATTCCTTTCCGAGTAAAACATTGATCATCGCAAAGGAAATTACAGCGTGTGTTGCAAGAGAGATAATATCACTCATCATATGATAATAATATGTGTAATAATACTACGAGACGCGTTAATCAATACAACGTCAATACCATCGTTAATTCATCATCCCAATATCGAACAGGTAAAGGTCATATTTAAGTGGTAGCTGCATTAAGATTACAGGTCACGATGTCAAAGAAGGCATTTCTATTCTCTTTTACAATATACGTACATGTACCACCTAAAATGAAGAAATCAGATTTGATGTGATATTTTTTCAAGCGCCACGTGGAAGATATATTGCATAGACTTAATTAGAACAATATCAGTAAAAATTTGGTCCAAAGCCGCTGTAAAGGAATTGCGAGTAAATTTCTATTACCTAACGAAATAAAATTGCACGCTTATTATCAAAACTAATACCAAATTTTTCGCAGCCAACTTTCAATTAATAGAATATCGCCTTTTATCTCAATATCCGTTTTGCCTCTCGTTTTCAATGATCTTGTTGAAGGAAAAGTGAAAAAAATTATTTTACTTCCTTCCTTGAAAATTTTTAAATTTAGTTTTGAAATAAATGTTTGTGCAGTGAGTGTTATGCGTCCAATGAAAGCTGTTTAATGTAAAAATTCTCGCTAGAAAACATTCACATTAATTTCTCATTAAGACGAAAGATTCAGAATTTTCACCTATAAAAGCAACTTTTTATAATCTAATAAAAGCTTCCAGCAGATTACGTTTTTTCATATGAAAAATTAAGAAAGCTTCACAAGCTTTAAGATTACACATGGATTTAAACATTGGAACGTTTAAATCCATTCATGCATTCTTAGGTAGAATTTGACTGAGCAATAATTTCGTTTTCGAATATTAGAAATCGATCCGTCAAAATGGGGTGACCACTCGTATTCAATTCAAGGTATTTATATTTAAAGTACATTCATTAATCACACGGTTCATCAATAAAGTTTATTTATGTTTTATATCATTTTCTTTATGCATTTATTTATTCCTACTGTTTTTCAGTTTACGTACATTGCAGCGTTAAATGTGGTCTACTCTCGCATGCATCTAACTAAGAGCATGTAAAATGAAGGCTTATAATAAAAATAACCTACACCAATGATAGAAAAATCTCAATTTATTTAAAAAAAATTGTACCTAACATTAAAAGAACAATTTATCATATCCTGCATGAGTTTTGTGTCACTTGTCAATGACGAGAAATGTTTGAAAATTGTACAAATGTTCTCACAATTCCTCTGATAATGAATTCATCGCTAAATGGATATGTATAATGCGCATATCAGCATAATTTATAGCCAGTCCAGTGAAGCAACTTGCNTCATTGTATATTTTTAAACAGAGGCCTAGTTTGAATTTAGCTTTTAGCTCTTACCCGCTTGAAATTGTAAATAGTTAGGTTTTGCAGCTTAGGATTTTCGTTGTATTCTTGACTGTACTAATCACTGATTTATCTGTGTTCTAGGATTTTCGAACTGACGATGGAGCTGGACTCCGAAACGTTTTCTTTAAAGATATTATTAACCAAGATATTAGTAACATTATCAAGCGATTTTTTATTTAATAGTTATATATCGCGCAATAAAAATATTTTCTTTCAGTATTTAGCTTCTTCAAAAACATTAGAATTCGGAGTATTATACTTCATATGTTTAACATGACGAATTTCTTCTATATCAAGCCTTTTTCAAAGTCGAACGTAGAGAGGAAGACAAGCGAGACGTTGACCCGTAAAGTCGCATATGAGATTGAAAGGAACGACAAGGTTCGGTGGGACGGTTTCTCTTTCAGCAATTTCAGCGCAATACGCGCACCGATGAGGCTACTAAAATAAATTAGAGATTACTGAGAAATTACATGGAACAAAAATATATACACAGCTATGTCAATTTAATTTATTTTTTTCTTCATAAGAAGGAATCGACAATTGCATATGCCATGTTAAATGTTGTACAGGATTCTGAAACTCCAATATTAGAAATAAAGTACCTAAGATTTGTCCACGTTCTGCATTTCGTACTGAACAATTTGCCTTCTTCAAGGTCAATTCTTTGAAATGCTTAGATTCTTAGTACGTTAATTTTTGTCGAAAAAAATCACATGTAAACTATTATTCATCATTCTTTGGGTTGAATTGATTTTTTATGTGTCAGTATAAATTGTGTGCGAGCATCAGTCTAAAATAAGTTCTGCGATACGCGCTGCCACTCTTTCACGCTCTCAGAATATCATTATATGTACGTCGCTAACCTCAAATTAGCAGAGCTAATTTTCGATGAAAATGTGTTTTGTTAGTATTAAATACAAACCGGAGGCACGACAAAAGTTATCATTCACACACAGTTGTTTCTTACTGGAACTTCTTCATCAGATGTGGCAACCAACGTTATTCACAATTCTGGCGCTGACTACGGCTGTGAGAAGCACTGCGGTTGTTCACTGCCAGCCTATATAATGACTCGATTTGTGTTCGAATTATGAAATTCAGGCAAATTCTGCCAGGCTTGCTGCGATACCATCGCCTTGAGTGTACTGCCCGAGTGTTGTGAAGTGTACAGTGGTTGCTGTCATACCTACAGCGCGCAATGCCGAGTAAGTGGAAATAAGGTATGCATTAAATGGGGTATAGTAATGAAATATTAAATTGCAGGTCTATGTTTTTTTCTCAATGAAATGCTGAAAATGATGAGTTTCTTAATATTTTGCCTTTACATGATTCTTGTTCTGCTGTTATATGCCTGAATTTCACAAGCAATGTGAAGCCAATGCCGCAATGAATGAGCACTTCCCGGAGTATTGCTGTGCTTCCTTCACCGACTGCTGCGGTATGGTGAAGAAAAACATGGGTTCTAAGAAAATGCCGTCAGTTTCTAACTTTGCCCGAAACACTAATAAAGCATGCTTATTTATGTCATATTTACAATCTATGATTCAATGCTCATGCGATTCAACTTTAAACAAAATTAATTGTGCGTACCAAATGAAAAATATATCAGAATATTATTATTCCTTATATTTCCCCATTAATATTCTTAATTTACATAACTTATGGCATCTTTAAAGCTGGAAATAATTCTCATAACTGAATTCTATAATTGCACTTTTAGAAGCTCATTGCAGCATACATTAGAAGTTCTTTCATTTAATATTAACTCCGAGGTCTTTTATTTAACCTCTTCGTATTTGCGTATGAGTGTCAATAGAGACTTCACATGCGACAGTTTATAAATCCATAAATCCAAAAAATATGAGCCTATTTCTAGCTCTTGATTTCAATATCTGTTAAAAGTGTCTATCGTCAACGAATGTAACGTTCTTAAAAGGTTTCCTTCGTACAAACAAACCATATCTCAGTACTTAATCTGATTATCTGAGTACTTTCGTTAATATAAGACAAATACAACTAAAAACGAATATCACCACCACACACTTATAACACACCTGGGGGCGCTTGTAGCTGACAGAGAGGACGAATAATCTTGTCACAAGGCATATCCACCGCCAAATAGCCGTAAGATTGTGCCAACATTGCGCAGTCAAATCCGTTTTCTCCACTTGGAGAATTAAAATACCAATCTCCGCTATAGTCGGCTCCTGGACTACGACCATCCAAAAGCCACATCCAGGTATTGTCCACTTTCTTCAGAGCCACGTAAAAATCCTCCACAACTGTAGGAAAATATGAAACCTTGCTACTAGGTAAAAATATTCTCATGAATTATTCCTAGACCAGCCAAAAGTTAATTTTCTCAGAATCCACAAGCCTTTGGATAAAACTTACGAGCGAATTGATGTCAGTAAACGAAATTTTTATCAGTGCAAATATAATTGTAATTTTAAGTGATAAGTCCTAGTCGGAGGTCCTTAAAAGTAAACACAGTCATGTCAACCCTTCATTGCTGATTAATGTTTTCATACATATATTTTATTATTTTATGAATGGTTAACATTTTATTAACACGCATCATGCATTGTGTACAGTAGAGTTATATTAAAATAATCATATAACAGTTTTTTCAAAATTTCAAAAAAATTATCTAAAATGCAATTTATTATTTTTCTTACAGCCTAGCGACTTGAGGTAGTTCCGCACTTCCCCAAAATGCACATCACTTGTTGCAGACAACAAATCTGCACCGCGAGCCATGCAATCCATGCGAGCGTCGCACCAAGTCATCGCGGTGGACCCGATCAAGAGACATCCCGCCGCCGTCGACGTGAAGGGGTCTAGGCATGCTGTTGCATTCCCTGAAATACCAAAAAAAAAAAATTGTTGGATTTGAGAAAATGTTGAAATTTTTCTCCCTAAATTGAGAGGATACATGAGTCAGGTGTTTCATATTAGTTTGAGTGGCAAAAATTTATTTCTTGAAGTTTAGTGAACTGACAGCCAACCCAGTGGTATGCTGTATTTTTTCGCCCAAAGTAAGTATTTAGACTACGAAAAATTCTCTTTTGTAAATAAATAGAGAATTTTTTGGCTGCTTTTAAATTCTGCCTGAAGGCTTGTCTGATGAATATTTTTCAGATTCCTAGTCTCATTCGAGAGGATAAAACATAAAATGTTTACTCCGCATTCTCACTGAAAATGACACTAAGCTCTCTATTGACATTAAATTTACAATTAATCATAATTTTACAGAAAAAAATGCATTACACAGGTTTGGAAGAGTCATTAATTACGTATTCGAAGAACTTTTACAGTAAACTCATACTTGCTGTGATCGGGTGCGGACCATTTTCAGTGCAGTTGAATAGCGTCAAGCAGGTCGAGTTTTGCGGGTAAGCTTCGTTCAGCAGTGCTTCAGTTTCGTCCTCTTTTATGCATCGGTCAGTAGCTGCATTCATCGAATCTTATGAATGAAAAATAATACAGTTTCACAATTTTGATCGAGACTAATACGATTTTCGCCCATGTGAATCAAACATCAATAACTAAATTTCATGTTTATATCGAAATTCTGGAAACAAAAAGTTGACTTAGCAATAAACCTGTCATTTAACAACGCCTGTACTCAAAGTGCACTTAGTGAATGTAAGAGATTATTCCAGGTTACCTCTTTTACCGTAAGATAAGTGCTGATAATGCCTTCCGTCAGCAATAGAGACGTTCCATGCAACATTAGCTGTGCATTGCATTTTACTTCGAATAAATTTCAGATTTTTCTAGATATTGACACGCATGAGTTTCGTATTATTTCAAATAGGAAGATATACATTATAAGAGCAACGTCACTTTTACGTTACTCATTTCACAATTTCTCCATTTCGTGTTGATATTTTTTTCTTTAATTAGATAACGTTTGCAACGTTAGCAAATTTTTTAGATTTTAATTTTCGTCCTCATTTCCCACGACTGCTGTTATTTTGTAGCAATTTTTTTGTTATTAACTTGTAATGCCTATGTAGCTGTGTAGCATTTATCTCTAAAAATGTTATAATTAAATTATTTAGCAGCATTTTGCTATGTTAAAATTCCCACAACATATATATGCATTCTGAAAGTTTGATTCCAAATTACACCAGATCTCTGAAAAAGAATATTGTTAGAAAAATATAAGCACGATTTGGTATCAAACTTCCAGCTCTTTTTTTTATTACTTTTTAGTAAGTTTTAAAACTTTTGTTTGGCTAAAATTAAATATATTGATAAAAACTTGTTTGATTTTTAAAGGAGTTCTTAACCGAATTTTTAAATTCAAATCTAACTTTTTTTAAACCAGTAATTCTAATGAATATTGCAACTACCCTCGTCGATCGATTCAAATGAAATAAAATTTAATATTTTTTTTCACAATTTAAATATTTTTTGGTGACAAGCATTACTGACTTTTCTCCTGCTGTTTTTCTGCAACACATTTAATTGGAAGAATCTACGTATATTTTATATTCACTCAATCTAAACCTCTGCATTTATCAGACAAAATTTTTTTGTCCATTTCCCTTATTGCGTAGCCAAAGTACCTTTACTTAGTTTCACCTATTATATTTATTTAACGATATGAGGATATTGAAAAAAATCTCCGCTTATATCGCGTTCTTCAAACACGCCTGTTCTTGGTAAATCTCAACGTTGCGTGCTGCTTCTTTTTGCTTCGACTTCGGGGCTTACAGCAGGGCAATCAAACAGTCATTTAATCCAACATGAACTCCAGGTGCACTTAACGAGTGAAAAGAGATGAAAATGGGTAGGTGCTCCAAAGCATGTGCTCATTGCAACAAATGTCATGCGACAGCCCTGCCTTCGTCTACTTAACACTGATATGCATCTAAGCTCATTTCAAAATGTTCCTACTACTTTTGATACAATATCAAGAACCAATTCAATTGTGAAAAATTAAAGCTGAATTCTAAGAAGATATTTGTCGTATAATTTGTAATTTTTACACTGGAACACGTCATTCAGTATCGGTGATATTTTGAATTATATCGGTGCCTAAATTGCTTGCAAACCGCTAAAGTGAATCTCACTAGATTTTAGACTTTCAATGCTCTATACTCAATCTTAACGTATATTAAGTATGACGATTTATGACCTTTAATTTACATACGATGCCACGCCAACACAATACAACTTGAATTATATTTCTACTCTCGTAGGAAGCTAATATTTTCCATTGCGTTCGATGATTTTTAATCAGAGCATTGAATGTTTAAATCTCTTGACATAACACAGGCATTAGCTGAACAAACTAGACAAACGTCAGTGAACAAACCATCATAATAAATATATATAATTTCCTTGCCGCAACTCATCCATTACGAATTATGTATAATGATAGAAGAGTTTCAATAACTGCAAAATATATTCACGTATTTCCTTTTAGCCCCGAACATGAATAATCTGATGAATGTTTCAATCAATAATTTTAAGACGTATATTATTTATGGGTGAAGTCATTTTCGGCGTTGTTTATTTTTATCTTTTACTTGTTTTACATATTTAACTTGTATTTTCCCGATGAAAATTTAACTTTGCTGCTGAACTAGGCTACCAGGCTTGTCACTCTGTATATATTTGAACTTATTTTAAAATTACCTAATCGTGGCTGGCAAAATAAATCTATGTGACGAGAAAACGCTGACAAAACACGCCACTAATTTATTAAAGGACGTGTTCCTAATTCAATCGATTAGGACGTGTTCCTAACAATCCTGACGTGCTAACAGTGACGGTTAAAAAATCAAACCGTATCAGAGCGGCTAAACTTGACACACAAACGAGAAAAACGACTCGCATCCACCGTCTGCAAGTCGGTAGGAAAGATGGCTCGCCATCCGTGCGCACTGGACGCCGTATTGGGCGCCGTTGGGGTCCGTTGATGCCCAGTCTCCCTTATAGTCTGGGCCAGGACTGCGACCGCTGGGGGACCACATCCAAGTGTTACCCACCTTCTTGATCGCAACCCAGAGATCCGCAGGGGCTTGAAAAACAAATTTGAAAATTATAAATGTTATTTAGCGTTTCAGCTTCAGGATAGATATGTTTAGTTTTCTACTTTTTATAACAATATTAATATTGATTCATGAATTATTAAGGTATCGAACATAATTTCTAACGTGACAGGCATAGGGATGAAGATGGTCTTGCATCAGTAACGAAAAAATACTCCATTCAGGTAATTTGTAATAGAATTAAATCATTTACTCGCTTATATAATGAAGATGGACGATTATTTGTACCCGAATTTGTACTCAATATGTACATCCTCATAGCCTCGAACTGTTCGTGAGTGTCAGCAGTGAACAGGTCAGATCCAAGCGCGGTGCACTGCTGCCGCGCCGTGGTCCAGTCAACAGTAGCGGTGTTCACGTATATGCAGCCTACCGCGGTCTCCTTGAACGGTGAGCTGCAGCTGGTGCGTTTCCCTGTGGAATCAATGAAAGTTCAATGATACATGGATCTGCTGAAAGACCTTGCATTTATTTATGTACTAGAAAACCATGAATTGTTTTTTCTCAATGTCGACGGTAAGAATGTGTTTGTGATGTTAAATCACTAATACTAGAACTCACTTTTCAGTAAGCGGTTGCTTATTTTCTTGATTCTAAAAATTCTAATATTTTCATTTCTCGATGAACTATTTTTCGAACAAATTTGAACAAACTTACCCGTAACAACATGAGAATGAGTTTCTTTAAAGATTTTTGTTATAATTCTATAAATAATTTGTTTCGGGCTGCGTAAAATAAGGCCAAGCAATCTAGTATCTGATGATATTATCGTTCTAGCTGCCGGCACAATATTAAAAAATTTCTATGTACATTTCATATAAGTATATTTCCCAAAATTCCAAAGGGGTTTCAGATGTGCGGGCATGAATCTTTCTGAAATGTTTTTAATGGAAGAAAGTGCACCCTGAGACTCCGATAAAAATGTGATCGTAAAAAATACGCTCATCAAGTGAGATACTTCGAAGAATAAATCATCGCAATAGGTGAACAACGTGGTTGCATCTAAAATTTTAATTTCTTATTATTCACGAAGATTATTCCGCTCTGAAGCTGTAAGTATGTAAAATTAGGGATATAAAATAAGTTCTAGAAGGCACTGAATGCGAGGCGACAGCAGTAGAGATTGACTGCGACATGTCAGTTGGAAGCCAGTAGTTATACTGTTATCAAAACATTTAACGTCGCTGTCAACTTGCTGTAGCGCATCTTAGTGACTTTAGTATACTGTAGCTGATAAGCATTCCCTTTTTGGTGAGTTACAAAACTAATTTATACTGCGAACATAATATTGAATCCCATGTGGGGTGTTACCGGATCAAGGAGGAGTGCTGTGCTGATGGTTAAGCCGCTACTCGTAATTTGTCTCTATAATGCCAAGTTATAATGCCATATATAATGTTCCTTCGATAACGTTCTTTCGTATTAATGTAATATCTGTTCCATTTAGTCCTGTTTGAATAAACTCTTGTTGGTTTGCAGGAGCGTTGTAATTAAGGAGAGTACCTCACATAAGTTAGAAATGAACCCTAGGAAGCAACCAGCTTCATTACAGAAACATTATATTTATTAAGATAAATATGTCAGAAAATTACGTTAAAATTAAATCTCTCTGCTGTTTATTATTTTTTCCGTGGAACTGATAGTGTGAAAAAGAATTAAAGTGACCCATCAAAATTGGAGAAACCTAAACGAAAAATGCCTTGTCTTACCGACAATTTCTGGTCCGTCGTCCGTGCAGAGGTAACTTGGTCCACTATCCGTGTTGAAGGTTTGACCGACTTGCACGATCTCGCCACTGGTTCCAGTACAGGTATCTAATGTGAATGAAGTGTTATTGCTTTATTATTAAAAATAGTGACCCAAATTTGTATTTCATGTCGATATTACTAATAATCATAGCATTCTGCAATGACTTTTAAATGAATTATATAGATTCATTTGGTCACAAACAGGCCTTCGTGACCTAGGCGTCGAGGACGATTTGCCTACCGGGTCTGAGGACGGCAGAATACAGAGACGTCGCTCCAGCGTGGCCTGGAACTGCTACGTCTAAAACACATACTAAGGATACTAAGGATCCTTACTTGTGTAGGATTTCCTGATTTTACAAGGAGTAGCGCCGACGTTGCCATTCTTCCTGCCAGCCACAGCTTTGACCGCCTCTGCGCTCCAGATTTGACACTGTGAGCCCTCGCGCGCTGCAGAAAAACACGACGCCACGGACCAGTTGAGGCTCTGAGCGATGCCCAAGCAATGCATTGCTGAATCACACGAGTGGGAAGCGGCGGTTGTTTGCAAACTTAATATTTTGAAAGATTTTTAAATGATCATATCATACGATACGACCTTTCCATGTTAACTTTGAAAGTAATCTGAATGAATATGTAAGTCTTTCGCGTAATTTATAGGCTTGGACCCAAATCATAGACAAAAATTCCTGAAGAAATTGCAGCTACGCTTTAGGAAAATAATTACCGTTGTACGATTTGTCTGTTTAATTACCTTCATTACAGACAAATTTCGTGAGTAGCATGAAGAGCAATTTGTGCAATTTTCCACTTCTAGTTATAAAGAAAGTCAGTGTTCTTAGAACAAGCATGAAAAAAAAAAAACATTTCCACTCATTACGCAGAAGAGTATCGTACGTTCTGATTAAATAATTACGAAGTAATCAGTGTCTTTTTCCAGTTAAGGCTTGACTATTAAGTGCACGCTTAGTGAGAGGCACAACGAAGCATGAAGTACCAATATAAAATTAACCATTATAATGCCTCTTGTCAAGTCATGCGTGGCATAGCAGGAGCCTGAATTATCTTGACTGTATTCGATGCGATGCTTTTACTGAGCTACAATTTCACTACATGTCAAACGATGCATGAAGACATGAGAGTCGTGAAATAGGCGGTCCCTGGAGAGGGCTTTGTTCTCAGGTATCAGCCAAAGCTTTTTTCATTTCAACGTACAATCTCATTCGTGCATGACTACATATATATATTATAATTATCTGCGATGTATATTCGTGCATGACTGTATTCGTGCATGACCGATATTAAACAGATAAAATAGCTACCTAATTTTACGTAGCATTTTAATAAAAATATGCTATGGGGATGTTTGAAATCTAGTTGTTTACTGTACTAATTTATGTCGGATTTCTTGACTTTTAGTTAACTGTGTGGAAATTAGAAATAGCTATCTTGCTAGCAGTATTGCTTGGTGGTAGTATGAATACAGATGATTGAGTAATTCGCAAACACGGGAATTACTTAGTATAATTATGCGACTGCAAGATTTTTCTGGCATCGAATAATGAATTATATCATACATTTATGTAATTTATCGACTATGCACTTCCATATCTGGGTTTTGACCAATTTAAAAAAGGAAGCAGATTCACTTTGTAAGTGGTTGCGAGTGGTTTCTGAAGCCAAGAAACTTTCGTCATTTGACTCTAATAATGTATTCAAAGCTCTATTTAAAATAGGAAACATATAATTTTTTATTTAAACTTTCACAGTTGCTACCTATTATCAATCTAAACTACTAGTTCTTTTATACTGAAAATATAGTAATAAATCTCGGTAATTTTGAGGATATTTGATTTTCATACAGGCAGGGTTATTTCCCAGAAATTTTATAAATAAATTGTTCAAACCGATAATGCTAATTTTTCCAATCTGTCCTTTCTCATTAAATTAATTTCTCCAATTTAATTCAAATCTTTTTGAACTATTTTTTTAGTTTGTCGGCAAGAACTGATTTTAACGAAAAGCAACTGCTTCGGAAACATTATTGGGGATTATACGGTGTTATCTGGACTTGAAGTTGCAAGTTGAAGTTGACAGAGAGGGGGAAATAACTTGTCGCAGTACATATCACTCGTCATGAAGCTAGAAGAAATTGCCAGCAGTCCGCAGTCAAAGCCATCCGCGCCAGTTGGGGATGTTTGATCCCAATAACCTGTACTGAGGGCATTAGGACTTTCCAGGAGCCAACGTCAGGTATCGTTCACTTTCTTCAGGCCTACGTAAACGTCTTGTTGCACTGTCAGAAAATTAGAGTTATTGTGTCAGTTGAATTTCAGTTAATTAGTCGTAAGTTGATGGCCCTTAATTCAGATAGATTTTACACTTCGGTGTAAAATCTATTAATAATTCCGACCTAATATTAAAACTTTTTAATATTCCGGCCTAATAAATAAATGAGATTTATACCAAAGTGAACATTGAAATAATCCTACGTGACTACACCAACTAAAAAAATCCCACGTCGCTTCTACCCACCGCTGATAAATTGTTCAATTCCTAATTAGTATTTCAATTGAGAAAATTTACTTGAGAGGAGAAGCGAGCCAAGAGGAAACATTCTCGACTCCCGACAATTAATTATGTCAGCTTTTATTGTGCATTAACAATGAATTATTTTATAAACATGAATTTTATATGCATGGATTATCAGAATTATTTCCAATATTCTCCAATTTTGTAACAATATTTTTTCTTACCGCTTTGCGACATGAGGTACCTCTGCACTTCCCGAAAATGCACATCACTTGTTACAGACAACAAATCTGCACCGCGAGCCATGCAATCCATGCGAGCGTCGCACCAAGTCATCGCGGTGGACCCGATCATGAGGCATCCCGCCGCCGTCGACGTGAAGGGGTCTAGGCATGCTGTTTCAGGCTCTGAAAAACCAAAATTTTTAATTATGTTTCTTAAATTTGCTTCCGAACATCAATGGGGTACATGACTCCGGCGACTCAAACTTGTTTGTTTATAAGACTCAACAAAAATCTCTCTTAGTGAAGTTTGTGATAGTAACTGACAACAGAAATGTTTTGCAGATGTCAGATGACTGCTTTTTATCTCGAAAATAGTACCAAGCCTGTATCGTGTGCTACCAATACAATAGAGGTTGAAATGTATGAGGGATTATTTAATATCACGTAGATTCTGATTGAAATTGTTTAATCATTTGCAAACATCTCGTTTGGCTTATGTCAGCTTGTGCTCTTTGCTATTTTACAAGACAACACACTCTAATGAAAGCAAGTTTGCTGTTAATTAGAATTAAATTTATAATATGTAACAGTAACTGCTGAGAAAACCACCAAATCCAGTGCCTATGTGCCCATACTTGCTGTGAGTTGCTGTGGGCCATTTTCAGTACAGTTGAATATTGTCAAGCAGGTCGAGTCTTGCGGGTAAATTTCAGTGAGCCGAGCCACAGAGCCGCTGACTTTAGTGCATAGTGCCACGACTGAATGGGTTAAATACAGAAAAACATGGATTCTAAGAAAATGCCGTCAGTTTCTAAATTTGCCAGAAACACTAAGAAAGCATGTTTATTTACGTCATATTCACAATCTATAATTCAATGCTCATGGGATTCAACTTTAAACAAAATTAATTGTGCGTACCAAATGAAAAATTTATCAGAATATTATTATTCCTTATATTTCCCCATTAATATATTTAATTTACTTAACTTATGGCATCTTTAAAGCTGGAAATATTTCTCATAACTGAATTATATAAGTGCGCTTTTAGAAGCTCATTGCAGTATACATTTGAAGTTCTTTCATTTAATATTAACTCCGAGGTCTTTTATTTAACCTCTTCGTATTTGCGTATGAGTACCAATAGAGACTTAAAATGCGACAGTTTATAAATCCATAAATCCAAAAATTATGAGCCTATTTCTAGCTCTTGATTTCAATATCTGTTAAAAGTGTCTATCGTCAACGAATGTAACGTTCTTAAAAGGTTTCCTTCGTACAAACAAACCATATCTCGGTAGTTAATCTGATTATCTGAGCACTTTCGTCAAAATAAGACATATACAACTAAAAACGAATATCACCGCCACACACGTATAACACACCTGGGGGCGCATGTAGCTGACAGAGAGGACGAATAATCTTGTCACAAGGCATATCCACCGCCAAATAGCCGTAAGATTGTGCCAACATTGCGCAGTCAAATCCGTTTTCCCCACTTGGAGAATTAAAATACCAATCTCCGCTATGGTCGGCTCCTGGACTACGACCATCCAAAAGCCACATCCAGCTATTGTCCACTTTCTTCAGAGCCACGTAAAAATCCTGCTGCACTGTTAAAAAAATATAAAAACTTGTTACTAGGTAAAAATATTCTCATGAAATATTCCTAGGCCAGTCAAAAGTTAATTTTCCAAGAATCCACAAGCCTTTGGATAAATTTCGAGCGATTTGATGTTAGTAAATGACAATTTTATCACTGCAAAATTAATTGTAATTTAAAGTGATAGGTCCTAGTCGGAGGTCTTTAAAAGTAAACACTATCATGTCAATCCTTCATTGCTGATTAATGTTTTCACAGATATATTTTATTATTTTATGAATGATTAACATTATATTAACACGTATCATGCATTGTGTACAGTAGAGTTAAATTAAAATAATCAAGTAACAGTTTTTTTCAAAATTTCTCGTAATGCAATTTATCACTTTTTTCTTACAGCCTAGCGACTTGAGGTAGTTCCGCACTTCCCCAAAATGCACATCACTTGTTACAGACAACAAATCTGCACCGCGAGCCATGCAATCCATGCGAGCGTCGCACCAAGTCATCGCGGTGGACCCGATCAAGAGACATCCCGCCGCCGTCACAGCCAACTTTCAATTAATAGAATATCGCCTTTAATCTCGATACCCGTTTTGCCTCTCGTTTTCAATGATCTTGTTGAAGGAAAAGTAAAAAAAATGAATTTTACTTCCTTACTTCCCCGGAAATTTTTTAAATTTAGCTATGAAATAAATGTTAGTGCAGTGATTGTTATGCGTCCGATGAAAGATGTTTAATGTAAAACTTTTCGCTAGAAAACATTCACATTAATTTCTCGTTAAGACGAGAGATTCAGAATTTTCACCTATAAAAGCAACTTTTAATAATCTAATAAAAGCTTCCAGCAGATTACGTTTTTTCATATGAAAAATTAAGAAAGCTTCACAAGCTTTAAGATTACACATGGATTCATACATTGGAACGTTTAAATCCATTCATGCATTCTTAGGTAGAATTTGACTGAGCAATAATTTTGTTTTCGAATATTAGAAATCGATTCGTCAAAATGGGGTGACCACTCGTATTCAATTCAAGGTATTTATATTTATATTCAAAGTACATTCATTAATCACACGTTTCATCAACAAAGTTTATTTATGTTTTATATTATATTCTTCATGCATTTATTTATTCCTGCTGTTTTTTTACGTACATCGCAGCGTGAAATGTGGTCTTCTCTCGCATGCATCTAACTAAGAGCAGGTAAAATGAAGCCTTATAATAAAAATAACCTACGCTAACGATAGAAAAATCTCAATTTATTTTAAAAAATTGTAACTTGCGCTGAAAGAACCATTTATCATATTGTGCATGAGTTTTGTGTCACTTGTCGATGACGAGAAATGTTTGAAAATTGTACAAATGTTCACACAATTCCTCTGAGAATGAATTCATCGCTAAATGGATTTGTATAATAATCATTTCAGCATAATTTATAGCCAGTCCAATGAATCAAGTTGCTATTTTTATTTAAAAAAATTTTTCATTTAACAGATGACAGTTGAATGGTACGTACACCGAATGCATATATTAGGAATTGCTTCTACCTTGATTATGTTGAACAATAATCATCGGAACTTCGATACAAATATCTTCACCAACATCGTTTGAATAATTAATATGCTCTGATGATATTCATGAATCATTGTTCTAAAGTATCCAAATTTCTACTCATAACTGTCTTTGAACACAGAATCGAGAAAGATAAATTTATTTTTTCTTTATTTTTAATTTCCATTCTACATTCACCAACGTTCGTTCGCTTCTATAGAATTCTTAGTTATGGTATGAGGTTGCTAGGGAAAATTATGGTGCACAAATTGATAAAATATATAGTGTGATCACTTTACTTCAGGTACATTTACATTATAATAATATGAATGAATCATGTCATATTTCCTGATTAAACTCAAAGAATTGAAAAGTTTATACAATGAAATTCCACAAAAAAAATTATTATGGAGGACTAGTCTTCGAATCTTTTGTCCAATAAAAATTTTTTCCCTTCCATCGGATGTTGAAAATTGGCGAAAGATATATCATTATTATAATAATATTATATAATAATATTTTATATTGTATAAGACGATTATATCACATATTCCAAAATTAAAATGAAACTAGAGCTCGCAACTGCGGATCACTGCGAGCGCTGCAATTTTCATTACACTTATAATTTTTTTCTTGGAACTTGTCTTCTCTAGGCTAACCTAAATTTTTAATTTTTTTTTTTTGATGTGGCAGGCCGTTGGAGAAACTTGTCACTTAACACACCCGGTGATCATGCTATCAAAATTGCGATTTTGTAACTTTGACAGCCGACCACTGACGGCTTTTCAAGTTAAACCTATCAATCGCGGCCGAGAAATTGTCTGCTATGAGTAGTTTCGAAAGTTTTAATAAGACGGCCTTGAAACTCCAGTGCACTTGGTGAATAATTAGATATAATTCAGAGCAACTTCTTGGACTCGCATGATTAATGTTATGAATGCCTTCATCTGCAAATTACGATTAGATGCTCGGAAGAAATTATTTGTGCATCGAACTTCATTTTAAATTGTTTCAATGTTTTCCGAGGTAATGACAAACACAAATTTAACTATAATAATAATTCTATAAATGTCAGTATTTACTAAGGCATTAATGTATTAATTTCACCTATTAGAATAATATTTAATGTAGTTAACAGCCTCGAGCTATTCAAATAATTGTAGCTAAGAACCGCTTTGTGTTAACGCGCTTGCTGCCTAACTACTCATCATAGCGTGGCGTGTCATTTCGTGTCGTCCTCGGAGCTCCCAACATCCCTTGATCCAATGATTAATAACTAAAGAAAATAGCTAATTATTGGTCGTTGCTGTAAATCATGTACTCAATCCAATATATGCCTTCGTTTAGCAAATCACTTGATGTGAATGTAAGCTCGTTCCAAATTTCTCCTACTATTTTCGATGTCATAAAAGGACCAAATAAGTCTGCAAATATAGTGTAACATGGGGCAGCGAGCCCACTGCGGGTCATAGGCCCATAGCGGGTTTCTCGCTAAGTATGGCAGATATTGGTCCGTGTTCTCTACCGCCGGTCGACAGTTTCACTGGGATGAAGTGTACGGATTTACGTTTTGCTAAGTGTTTGCGTTATTAAGTTCTTTGCGAATAACTGTTTTAGTCCAGATAAAATTTTTTTTGCCGCTAAATAAAGTTTTTTTCCATTACTATAGATGAAGATTTTGAAATTACTTTGAATTATTTTTTCAAAGTAATATTTNAATCATTGACAGTTGAGAGGTTCTACTGGATCGTGGCTAAGGTGATATGTGTCTTGGAGTATTTTATTTTCCAAAATATTATTTGTTCTTATGTACCGGATAAAACCCATAACACTTTCTTTTTCGCACACACATATGTAGATTCTAAATTAAAAAATTCACAACATTAACTCGGTTTTTGTGTTGATGAACATTCAGTCACCAATCAATGCCTTGACGTTCGTTACCACAAGATGGGCCAATGATCCTGCTCAGCAGCTCTGGTGCCTTGCAAGACAAAGAGGACTATGCAAGTTAAGGTATCAATGCATTCTGTGCTTCAGAGAAAGGCTTTTCACTGAGTACTCTGCGCACATCTCTGTGCGCAGCCGACAACACACCCTGTGATCATGCTATCAAAATTGCGATTTGTAACTTCGACAGCCGACCACTGACGGCTTTTCAAGTTAAACCCATCAATCGCGCCTCCTACCTAAATCTCACCTATTACAAACTTATTCAAAATATACTCCATCAATTTAATTAACCAGCAATGTATAAGAAGATAAATGAAATCAATAGCCATTGTAATGGTCGATCCAAGTCGAGGATAATATTAAGCGCGCTAGCTTTAAGGGGCCGAGTTACGCTTCTTCAATCGCGCAGAACATCTCTTGTGATAGGTTTGCCTCATTCTAACGCTGTTCTCATAAAAAAATTACTTGCAGCTTTCTCTTGAAGGATTATCCTATTGTTCCATGAGGCTATGATACATGTTCAACGTACGCAGCTCTAAGAAACATAAAAAAACACACCGGGAATACGGCTTTTCAACGCCTTAAAAAGTTTATATGGGAATATTTTTCCCGATATTTACAGGATGTAATAAACAAACATTTTCTAACGAAAGTATCTATCCGGTAAGTCACTAACGACAAGCGTCTCTACTTCTTCATCTCCATGGTTCAATTTTATGGGCCATCTTGAGAACAAAAGACTGCCAAGGAAGTCAAAGGAAAGATTAAATGCTGTTTTTAAGTGGTTCTTGCAGAGTATAGATAGGCCTGGAATAATTTAGTGCTGTTTTTATGACTTCCCAAAGGCACGGCGGCGAAGGCAAAACACAAATTTCCATGAAAGTTCAACTTAAAATACGATATCTTCATTGAACTTCCTCTCACTTCTTGGTTTCCGGATCAATATAATAAACTTGCTTATGAGTTTCCAGATCAACATAATAAACTTCGTTATTAATCGTGACGAGTATTGTACATCACTACATCAATTGTTTGGGCTCTGTAAGAGTTTCTATTGTTTGGTCTGCTTTTCTACTCCGGCAAAAACTATTGGATAATCAAGCTTTATTTAGCTAATTTATTTGGTGTTTTATCTTCTTTCACATTCTTGGTTACGCAAACTAATGGCATAAGTATTATTAGCGTTATATTTGTTGCATAAAAATCAAGCACATACATTAGGATCCCGCTTGTCATGAAACATGGTTTGTATGTCGCCGTGTCACGCGTCGATGTCGCCCCAAGTTTACTCTCACGATGAAGCGCCCACCATGCAAGTCTGGCTCAACCGCCTGCCGCAGTCGCGTCGCGCTCGCCGTCGTGGTGACGTGTGTTCCGTTCCGGCGTCTGGCACTCTAATATCGAAGGTGAAAGTCTTATTATTTTTCCTCACTATGGGATATTATTTTATCTCCTCTAAATCTAGACTTTGAGACGAAATATTTCGTATTTAGAAAATGAATGGCACGGATCACTTTCTGCAAGCGGTAATAAATTATGATGATTTCTTCATATGTCACCGACAATCTATTTTATATAATTTCGTATAGAGTTGAATTTTTTACGTTATTAGGCAAGATCGCAAGAGTTATTTCACTTCTGGTGCAATTTTGGGGAATAGACGCACATTGATCGAATCATGAACAGTGAAATGGGAAACTATAAAGCTATTTGCCAGCCCTTATAATAAAAGAACTCATTTCCAAAGCCTATGATTTATTTAGGTCACTGCCGTCGCACAAAGTCCACAAAGATCGCTTCAAAGAATGAGCATTTCCTCAAAGTTATCATAAAAATCTTGTCATAAATAAAATAAATAAAAAATCACAATTGTTTTTATTTTTCTATCTAAGAATCTATACACGTACCAAGGATCGATTAACGTACTAAGGATCGATAAACGTACATAAAACAATTGTATTGTTTTAGTGAATCACAAGTGAAATGAATGAATGTGAATGTCATGAATATAATCTTTTCCGCCTTGAATTAGTCTGCATATATTGGCAAGCGAACCCGACTCGTGCATGCAGCAGAAGTCGAAAGTGAACGGGTGAAAGATGGTCAGGAACGAGTATTCATGCATGGAACCCTCGGCTACAAACCTGCTCCGGCTGATTTGGTTACATTTATAAACTATCACCGAAATCTTGAATGTGCTTATCAAATGACAATTTTCAAATGTGCAGCATTCGAATCGTTTGTAGAAACCATAGCTTTGATGTTATAATGTTATCAATACAGTGTAAAACTGAAATAGACGTTATTCCTACTCATTTTTTACATTTAAATATTTTATTCACGCTGAATTGAAGTTTCTTGTAATTAAAAATTTTACTAAAAATTCTTTGAAATTAAACTCACTTCACTCTGCATGATTCAATCGAGTTTCAATACAACGCACATCTCAATTAACATTGCAAGTCACTCATAATCAGGAAGTTATTCGAGTTCATGAGAGTTTAATCTTGCACGATGCGTTTGTTTCCTCATAATCAGTAGAGTGCTGGCCTAAGACCATCATCATCGGGAAGTTATTCGAGTTCATGAGAGTTTAATCTACCACGATGCGTTTGTTTCCTCATAATCAGTAGAGTGCTGGCCTAAGACCATNGAACATCATTATACGTCAATAATCTCAAAATAGCCGAGCTTATTTTCAATGAACATGTGTTTTGTTTGTATTAAAAACAAACCGGAATCATGACTAAAACTATCATTTATGAAATAATATTTCTTACTGGAACTTCTTCATCAGATGTGGCAACCAACGTTGTTCTCACTTCTGGCGCTGACCGCGGCTGTGAGAAGCTCTGCGGTTGTTCACTGCCAGCCCAATGACTCGAGTTGTGCTCAGTGCCAGGCTTCCTGTGATACCATCGCCTTGAGTGTACTGCCCGAGTGTTGTGAAGTGTACAGTGCCTGCTGTCCTACATACAGCGCGCAATGCCGAGTAAGTCGAAAATAAGGTATGCATCAAATAGGAAATAGCAATGAGATTTTAAATTGCAGATCTATGTTCAAATTTTCTCAATAAAATGCTGAAAATTATCAATTCTCCATTTTTGAAGAATATTTATTTATAATATTTTGAAGAATAAGAAACACATGATTCTTATTCTGCTGTTATATGCCTGAATTTCATAAGCAATGTGAAGCCAATGCCGCATTGGATGAGCACTTCCCGGAGTATTGCTGTGCCTCCTTCACCGACTGCTGCCATATGGTGCCAGGACTCAACCTAGAAACCAACTTCAATGTCAAACAAACAACTGTAAGAAAGATGCAAATTATCATTTTTTTACTCAGTTCTTTTTCTTTTTTATACCCAATATTTCTTAATCTCCTCACAAGTCCGGCATGAGATACTTTTGTACCATCATTATTTATTATGTCCTTGACAAGGTCTTACGCGCCTTTCTCTCAATGAGCAATAAAAAACCCTTATTTTATTAGTTTTAATTCTGAAGTTCTAAAGTTGTTTTCAAAAGCAAATGCTTTACGTTGTGAAAATGAATTTAGAGTGAAATTTCATTTTCTATTATCTAAGTGCAAAATGAAATAGTAAGCCCAAAACAAACTATTTTCTACAAGTTCATTTTCTCTGTAAGAAAACATAAAACGGAAATTCTAGGGGGATCTAAATTAATTAATATTATATATGATCAGAGGCATTGAACGTAGAGGATAATAGGTGCCCAATATTTTGATAGGAGAGAAATATTTTTTAATGCTAATTTTAATTTATGTTTGAATGCAAAAAGCCATTTGCCCTTCAATCATGAGCTATGATCCAAAGTAAATGAACTAACCATGACTGAGTAGTTTTTCTCCCGGCTCAATTGTCATTTTTGCTCCACTTGTGATATCTGAAAAAAATCATCTTGACTAGAAAGCATATGACGAGGCTGAAAAATATTGCAATTTGCCCCGATAAAATTTTCTAAATTAATTTCTCATTTTTCAACCGTGCATCAGAAATACAGAACATACCTTGATATTGTCAAGTGCTTGTCCTTGTACAAAATTTTTTTTTCTAAATTAATTTACTGTCAAGTTAATTTACATTTGAACAACAGAATCCTCGCGATCAACGAGTACTTGAAAAGGCCGCTTCAAATCAGCATTCTTCTGACACACACCACGAACCAAATGAACCTCTTGAAACGACACAATTTGAGTACTACGACTATCCATTAGATGAATCAGAAGTGGACGGGTCTGAGTCTGAACCTGCGTCATCAACTCCTCAGTTCAGTTCAGTTCAGCATTCTTCACTGAGTGAACCGCGTCATGAATCTCAGGCGCTTCAGCAATCTCAGCCTCTTCAGCAAGGTCAGCCGCTTCAGAAAGCTCGACCACTTCAACAAGGTCAGCCTCTCGAGCAATCGCAGCCTCTAGACGAAGCTCAGCCTCTAGACCAATCTCAGCCTCTAGACCAACCAAAATGCACATCACTTGTTGCAGACAACAAATCTGCACCGCGAGCCATGCAATCCATGCGAGCGTCGCACCAAGTCATCGCGGTGGACCCGATCAAGAGACATCCCGCCGCCGTCGACGTGAAGGGGTCTAGGCATGCTGTTGCATTCTCTGAAATACCATGATTTGGAATTATATTTCTTAAATTGGCTACTGAACATCAATGGGGTACATGACTCCGGCGACTCTAACTTGTTTGTTTATAAGAAGCAACAAAAAAATTAATCTCTCTTCGTGAAGTTTGAGATAGTAATTGACTACAAAAATGTGTTAAAGATGTCAGACGATTGATTTTTATCTGGAAAATAGTACCAAGCCTGTATACTGTGATACCAACCCAATACAGGCTAAAATGTAAGGGTGATTATTTAATATCAATATTATTCTGATTGAAATTGTTTAATCATTTGCAAACATCTCGTTTGGCTTTCGTCAGCTTGTGCTCTTTGCTATTTTACAAGACAACTCACTCTAATGACAGCAAGTTTTATGTTAATTAGAATTCAATTCATAATATGTATATAATATGTATATGTAATATGTAGTAACTGCTGAGAAAACCACCAAATCCAGTTCCTTTGTATCCATACTTGCTGTGATCGGCTGCGGACCATTTTCAGTGCAGTTGAATAACGTCAAGCAGGTCGAGTTTTGCGGGTAAGTTTCGTTCAGCTGTGCCTGGGTTCCGTCCTCTTTTGTGCATCGGTTATTCATCGAATCTTATGAATGAAAAATAATATAGTTTAACAATTTTGAACGAGACTAATACGATTTCCGCCCATGCGAATCAAACATCAATAACTAAATTTCATGTTTATATAGAAATTCTGGAAACAGGAAGTTGACTTAAATAATTTTGAATAGATTCAGTAGCCGTTTGTTTGCGATAATGATTAGCATTAGACATGAAAACTTCAATTATTTCACGTTTCTTGTTCCTGGAATATCACCCAAAATTATAATATACAATAGTTAACGTACCCACGAAGGACTTCTTGATTTTACATTGCGTAGCACCGACAGCGATGCCCACACCGCCCGGTGCGCTCATGACAGCATCAGCTCCCATCACCTGACATTGCGCCCCGACGTCCGTTTTTGTGTAGCACGACACGACAGACCAGCTCAGCGACTGTGAAATTCCAAGACAATGCATGGCTGAGTCCGTAGCATACGTGGCCATTTGGTACCCGCTCTTCTCCATGGCCGTTTTGTTCGCAGTTGAAGGTAACCACAAGTCCTTTGAATTTATTACTGCCTCTGACGAATGTAACGCGGTCATGGACATTAAGAGAATTAAGAAGACTGCTGGTGACTGCAGTGAGCGACTCATTTTCATGATGAGTGTTATGATGAGAATATTGTAGAAAATCTAGAAAGATCAGTTCACATCCGGAATGTTGATTGTGGAGCAAACAAATAATTGGAAATCAGCAGTCTTGAGCTTGATTTGCTCATGAGAGTTCCTGGAATTACTTCGGTACTCTGAGTTGATCAAAATTTAAAGGGGTTTAAATAACGATATAATAGTTATTGGGTTCAAGTCTCCATCAACTGCGAGCAAGCGCAACCTTCTTCAACAGATCTCTTGCCCGATCTGAGGGCAATATACAAGTATATTCACGCTAAAACTCATTTAAACCATCAAAAAGAGAACATTTGTTGCAATAAAATTCATAGGTAATAATTCGCTTTTTCGGTATGATATTTTAAAATAATAACTAAATTTCTCGCTTCAAAACCTAGTGTGTAAGTATCAATGCTATCATTAAGTCTCTAGATTGCTTCTCAACTATTTAAATTATGGGTCAGAGAAAGGCAAATTATGTGCAGCGAACGTTATCATAGCCACGGGTAGAAATATATCCAATGACGATCTAAGCAACTTAAACGAAAAAGTTTTCAAAATTATTCAACATTGATGACTGAAAATTGGGCTTCTGGATTACATCGATAGTGAAGATCACGAATACGTGCCTGAAAGCGATTTAAATAATAAATCGTTTACTTGACAGTAAAGTATCAGAAACTTTTTTAGAACCTTTAAAGTTATTTTTCGCAATATTTAATGATGTTTGCACCTGGGTGATCTCGAAGCATTTTTGAAATCTGTTTTAAGAAAATAGTGATTTGGGTAATGAACATAAACCTGCATGCTTCTAGATTTAATTTTCATGAAGCCAAAAGATATTGTGATCCACGTATAAATTTTCAGCCAAAAGATCTTGTGATCCTCATAAAATTTTCTCCTAAAAGATTTTGTTATCCACGTATAAATTTCCAGCCAAAAGATCTTGTGGTCCACATATAAATTTTTTCCCAAAAGATTTTGTGATCCTCATCTAAATTGTAATGAAGCAATAAATAACTAAAATTTTATATTGTTGAAAGCAGAATAAATGACATTGAATATCAGTTATATTTCATGACTGACTAACTGACTGAATTCCTTTCCGAGTAAATCTTTGATCATCGCAAAGGAAATTACAGCGTATGTTGCAAGAGAGATAATATCACTTATCATATGATAATAATATGTGTAATAATACTACGAGACGCGTTAATCAATACAACGTCAATACCATCGTTAAATCATCATCCCAATATCGAACAGGTAAAGGTCATATTTAAGTGGCAGCTGCATTAAGATTACAGGTCGCGATGTCAAAGAAGGCCATTCTATTCTCTTTTACAATATAAACGTATATATACCTCCTAACATGAAGAAATCAGATTTGATGTGATATTTTTTCAAGCGCCACGTGGAAGATATATTGCATAGACTTAATTAGAACAATATCAATAAAAATTCCGTCCAAAGCCGCTGTAAAGGAATTGCGAATAAATTTCTATTACTTAACGAAATAAAATTGCACGCTTATTATCAAAACTAATACCAAATTTTTCGCAGCCAACTTTCAATTAATAGAATATCGCCTTTTATCTCGATATCCGTTTTGCCTCTCGTTTTCAATGATCTTGTTGAAGGAAAAGTGAAAAAAATGAATTTTACTTCCTTACTACCTTCAAACATTGGAACGTTTAAATCCATTCATGCATTCTTAGGTAGAATTTGACTGAGCAATAATTTCGTTTTCGAATATTAGAAATCGATCCGTCAAAATGGGGTGACCACTCGTATTCAATTCAAGGTATTTATATTTAAAGTACATTCATTAATCACACGGTTCATCAATAAAGTTTATTTATGTTTTATATCATTTTCTTTATGCATTTATTTATTCCTACTGTTTTTCAGTTTACGTACATTGCAGCGTTAAATGTGGTCTACTCTCGCATGCATCTAACTAAGAGCATGTAAAATGAAGGCTTATAATAAAAATAACCTACACCAATGATAGAAAAATCTCAATTTATTTAAAAAAAATTGTACCTAACATTAAAAGAACAATTTATCATATCCTGCATGAGTTTTGTGTCACTTGTCAATGACGAGAAATGTTTGAAAATTGTACAAATGTTCTCACAATTCCTCTGATAATGAATTCATCGCTAAATGGATATGTATAATGCGCATATCAGCATAATTTATAGCCAGTCCAGTGAAGCAACTTGCAATCTAACTACTTCACAAATAAGTGTAAATTTTTACAATTGCATTACAAGAAATAAGTTTTAGTGCAGTGATTGTTGTGCGTCCGATGAAAGATGTTTAATGTAAAAATTGTCGCTAGAAAACATTCACATTAATTTCTCGTTAAGACAAAAGATTCAGAATTTTCACCTATAGAAGCAACTTTTTATAATCTAATAAAAGCTTCCAGCAGATTACGTTTTTTCATATGAAAAATTAAGAAAGCTTCACAAGCTTTAAGATTACGCATGGATTCAAACATTGGAACGTTTAAATCCATTCATGCATTCTTAGGTAGAATTTGACTGAGCAATAATTTTGTTTTCGAATATTAGAAATCGATCCGTCAAAATGGGGTGACCACTCGTATTCAATTCAAGGTATTTATATTTATATTTAAAGTACATTCATGAATCACATGTTTCATCAATAAAGTTTATTTATGTTTTATATTATATTCCTCATGCATTTATTTATTCCTGCTGTTTTTCAGTTTACGTACATTGCAGCGTGAAATGTGGTCTTCTCTCGCATGCATCTAACTAAGAGCATGTAAAATGAAGCCTTATAATAAAAATCACCTAAACTACCGATAGAAAAATCTCATTTAAACAAAATTGTAACTTGCGTTGAAAGAACAATTTATCATATCTTGCATGTGTTTTGTGTCATTTGTCGATGACGAGAAATGTTTGAAAACTGTACAAATGTTCTCACAATTCCTCTGAGAATGAATTCATCGCTAAATGAATACATATGTATAATGCGAATATCAGCATAATTTATAGCCAGTCCAGTGAAGCAACTTGCATTCTAACTACTTCACAAATAAGTGTAAATTTCTACAATTGCATTACAATGCAATTTCTTCATTTAACAGATGACAGTTGAATGGTACGTACACCGAATGCATACATTAGGAATTGCTTCTACCTTGATTATGTTGAACAATAATCATCGGAACTTCGATATCGTCAACCAGCTTTATTTTAATAATGAATATGCTTTGATGATATTCATGAATCATTGTTCTAAAGTATCGAAATTTCTACTCATAACTGTCTTTGAACACACAATCAAGAAAGATAAATTTATATTTTCTTCATATTTCTTTTACACTTTCGTTTCTATAGAATTCTTAGTTGTGGTATGAGGTTGCTAGGGAAAATTACGGTGCACAAATTGATAAAATATTTAGTGTGATCACACTACTTCAGGTACATTTACATTATAATAATATGAATGAATCATGTCATATTTCCTGAATAAACTCAAAGAATTGAATAAATTTATTCAACGAAATTCCACAAAAAAATTATTATGGACGACTAGTCTTCAAATCTTTTGTCCAATAAAGACGATTAT